GGCTGAGAATTATACTTCCAGTAAGTTCCCTGTTCATCGATGGAATGCTGCTGCGGTTCTAGGACCCACACTCGGAGAATCACTTTCCTAGTGAAAGTATCAGCAGAAGACTCAGCCTGTCAGCTGTAGTCTGGCATGGTCAGAGTCTTATGAGGAGTCTAGCTTGGGCTGGCTGGAGGGCTGGGAGGTTGTGAAGGGGGATAGGCAGGAAGACCCACATGGGCTGGGGGCGGGTAGTCTTGGCTGCAGGCAGATCCCTGGAGGTGACCTGGCACCTGGCTGCTGGTGGAGACACACTGCCCCAGGGAATCCAAGCAGCCTGTGCTGAATTGCTTGTCCTGAGTCTGTGAAGTAGACTTTAGTAAAACACAAAGGCTCATGGTTTGAGAAGGGCCTGCCTACCTCCAAAGGAAGCCTGGGGCTCAGAGGACCCTTCTTACCCATTTTGAGGGGAGGGGAGCATAAGTGACTTCTTGTGAAAAGCCCTTGGGAGCAGTTTGCCCACAGTGTTGCTGCTGGAGAGTTGGAGTTAGCATTTATAAGTGGCCTTCCCACTGCAGCAAGAGTGTTGAACAGATTTGTTCCAGCCCAATTTAGAAGGGGGTGTGGAGTGTGGTCTTTTCTAATTGGGCTGATACTTAACTATTGGTGTGAAGACCAGTGGTGGAGCCTGTTGCCCTTCTAGTAACCTCTAAGGAGGAACCAGGAACCAGGACCAGACCTGTAATCCCAGCTCTTTGGGAGGCTGAGGCAGGAGGATCAGTGGAGCCCAGGAATTTGAGACCAGCCTAGGTAACATAGCGAGAAACAAATCTCTACAAAATAATGTATATATATATAGAGAGAGAGTTTCTTTTGAGGAGCCTCCACTGACCTCTGATACTAGATTTGATTGTCTTGCTGTGTTCTCTGTGCTCAGCCTCATTGTAGTCTGTGATGGCTGTACTGTTCAGATTGTTCACCAAGCATCCACGCTAAGGTAACCTGGTGTCCTCACCTGCTAATAGCACTTCCTTTGGATAATACATTCCAACCTACTGAAAGTAGAGAATAAAAAACTGCATGTTCCTGGTACCCTGGCACTAAAATTCCCCATGTGGTTTAAATTCTCCCACGTAATGTCATGCCAGACTCCTGAAGACCCCGTGTCTGAGAGGCCAAAGAAATGACCTGGAGACAATAGATAAGGCAGGCTTTATTCAGGAACTGACAGGGAATGTGGTCCAAGCATGGCCAAGTGGACAGGAAAAAAACCACTCCCGACAGTAAAAGGCATACGGGTTATACAGCATTTTACAGAGGGCAAAGTGCGGGGTTAAACGTGAAAAGGGAAGGGTTTTTAGTGTGCAGATGTAGTATGAGACCGTTCTTATGCATACGCCCTTCTGCAAACATCGCATGTGCACAAAATGGTTGTGAGTTATCTCTAGGGGTGGGATTTTTAGTATTATAATGAACCAAAGGTGAACTAAAGGTAACCAAAAGTTACAGGCATTGATCTAGGCATGCCTGATCTGGTCTGAACAGCCCGGGAGGCCAACTGCCTCAAGAAAGGATGCACCATGCATAGCTTTGAGGTGTGGTCAGCCGGCACGGAGGACACTTGGCCCATGACCTCAGCATGACCTGCATGCCCAGGCGTGGAACCTGTGGGGAAGGGTGGTGCCCCCACCTTTTAGCTCATAGGTGAACATAATCAGGGTATTTTTCAAAGGCAAAATGTATGTTCAGGAAGAGCTCACAGAGGTGAAGAGATGGTAAATCTCTCAGGAGCAGTTACCTGTAGCCTGCCCTCTTTAGCATAATAATTATTGTGTAGGTATATCAAGCCTCTTGTAAAAAGCAAAAAGCAAGGTCTTGATGCCCATGCCTCCTGCAAGTTTTCCTTTCTCTCTCTTTCTTTCCCTAACAAATTCTGTTTTTGCTTTTTTCTTTCCTGAGTTGGAGTGTCACTCTGTTACCCAGACTGGAGTGCAGTGGCTGCTGCAGCCTTGACCTGCCGGGCTCTGGTGATCCTTCCTCCTCAGCCTTCCAAGTAGCTGGAACTACAGGCATGTGCTACCACGCCCGGCTAATTTTTGATTTATTTGTAGAGATGAGGTCTCGCCAAGTTGCCCAGGTGGGTCTCGAACCCGTGGGCTCAGGCAGTCCACTCTCCTCGGCCTCCCAAAGCACTGGGATTACAGGCTGAGCCACCGAGCCTGGGCAAAAATTATGTTTTAAAACTGTATTGGCCACTCTGAAATTCCTTTCAGTAGTCAGTCAAATAACTCAGGAGTCTTGCGCCTCACCCTACCCAGTAACAGGGGACATCCTGGGTTGGCCACTCCCGGTACCCACTCTCCAGGTGCCAGCCCCCTGCTTTGGGGCCATAGCCAGGCTGTGTTTACGTTGTCACTGAGCGTGTGTTACCCTTCAGACATATTTGAGCCATATTTGACTTAAATGTGTAACAGTCTTTTGCAGGATGGGCCCTGGGACATGCATTTTGCTGGTGTGGATCATGGCAGGGGTGGCATAATTCTGGAGCAGGCAGCTTTTCTATGCCATAGGTAGCTGATCAGGACAGACACAGCAGCTCCTTGGCAGCCCAGCTCTGCAATGTGATTTTTGGGAGTAGCTCCTGGGACCTTAGTCTGGAGTCTTTGTTTCTTTAGCTCTTCCAATGAGTCTGTAAGCTATTTAATATTTTGGACAAAATCCCTTTCTGCTTGAATTGCTTAACTGAACCCTGATCTACACATTACTTTTTTTTTTTTTTTGAGTTGGAGTCTCACTCTGTCGCCCAGACTGGAGTGCAGTGGCCGCTCCCGGCCACTGCAGCCTCCACCTGCTGGGCTCCGGCAATCCTTCCGCCTCAGCCTTACAAGTAGCTGGAATTACAGGCATGCGCTACCACGCCCGGCTGATTTTTTGATTTATTGTAGAGATGAGGTCTCGATTCCCAGGCGGGTCTCGAACCCACGGGCTCAGGCAATCCACTCACCTCAGCCTCCCAAAGGCGCGGGATTACAGACTGAGCCACTGAGCCCGGTTTACACGTTACTTTTTTTTTTTAATTTATTTTGAGTCACTCTGTTGCTCAGACTTGAGTACAGTGGCGTGATCATGGCTCATCACAGCCTCTACCTCCTGGGCTCAGGCGAGCCTTCTGCTGCAGCCTCGGTATAGCTGGGACTACAGGCCCGTGCTAAATTAAAAAAAAAATTTTTTTGATACAGATGAGTTCTCCCTATGTTGCCCAGGCTGGTCTCATAAACTCCTGGGCTCAAGCCATCCTCCCACCTTGGCCTCCCAGAGTGCTAGGATGACAGACAGGAGCCACAGTGCCTGGCCTAAGTATCACTCTTATCATGGCTCTGGCTAAGTTTAATCATTTGCTTTTCTTGCTGTGTGTGGGCAGATACTAGGTATATCCTTTGCACCCCCAATATCTGATACATAACCAGAGACTATTTATGAACTTTTGGAGTAAGTTTTAAAAGCTCAGTAGGTAAAAGCTAGCTTTTTGCTCAGTTAATAGACATGAAATTCAAGGTGAGGGGGTTGTTTAGTCTGAAGAAAAAGGTAATTTGTGGTCATGACAGCTGGTTTCATGTGCTCTGGGTTAAGCTTGTTCTCTGGGCTCCAGGGAGATTGTCTGTGGAAGGCGGTGCTGAGTTCCCTGTTTTTCAGCAGGCTCTAGGGGTGGTGCAGCCAGACATCAGTTAGATGGGAGGCTGAACTGGTCGTCTTCCAGCAGAAATTCTCTGCTTCCTGCCCTTTGTGTGCCAAGCACAGTGGTGGGGGAAAGGAGAAAGGAAGACATAGAAGAAAAACTAGGTAGGGACCCTCCCTGCCTTCAAGGAACTGAAGGGGGCTTCCTGGGAGACAAGGTAATTAGGAGTTCAAAGTAGTTAGAGAAGGGTGCCAAAGGAATGGGGTTCAAAAGGCTTCCTGGAAGAGGAGGTGATTGAGCTAATCCTTGACCCCCGATAAGCAGAATTCAGGTCTAGGTGAGAGGATTGTCCTGAGAACTCAGAGGACTGGGAACTGAGAAGGAGCTAACCTCAAGTACTGTGCTCTGCATCCTCTGAACTTATTTGCCAGAGTGTGTGCCTGTTAACTGGATGGTTTCTCAGTTTGATTGTGCCGGAGACAACGGGAAGTTAGTGGCAAGCCCTAAATTTGAACCTAGCTCCGTGTGATGTGTCATGCTGTCTGATGATGCCACTAGATCATGCTTTTTATTTATTTATTCGATCCCAAATAGCAAGCCAGAGAGTTTTGCTTCAACTAGATGATATAAGCAGTGGATGTGATTACCGTGTTTCCTAAGCCACATGCTGGGCCCCGTGGTCCGACAAACAGGAGTGAACTTGGACAGCAGATCAGAATTTTGCAACTGAGTGTCTGGGAAATGTTGATGGATGACTGATGAGAATAGTGGTGACTCTTGCCCTGGCCACTGGTGGAGAGGGACCTGGTGGGAATACCGGCTAACTCAGTGGGCTTTTCCCTGCCTCCTGCCTAGCTGACTCAGTTTTGGAAAGTCCTCTTTGCAAGCCCCGGCTCAGCTCCTGCTGGGCTGGAGCTGAGCCTGGCAAGCATGCCCTTTCCCTCCTCCCCCTGACTCTGTCTCTGGCGCCTGGGGCTGGCTGTCTTTGAACTCACTCAGGGCTCAGCGTGGGGCTAAATAAGCCATCCCTTGCCTGTCTGCTGGCTGCCCAGGGCCCTGACCGCCAGTCTCTGCCCTCATCACCTCCTGCTCACAGGCCCTGACATACACAATAGGGGCTCAGTAAACATTGGTTGTTGAGTTGCAGGCTGCTGGTTCTAATTTTGTTGCAGCTTCTGGGGCACCATTGATTTTTTATTTTTTATTTTTTTAGTTTTCCTGTCCTGCCTCTCCCAGCAGTGTGAGGTTTCACGGGGAGAGTGAGTGGGCTTTGGCCACCCTCCTGTACGTCTACGGAAATCTCTCACCTTGGGTGGCCTTCGGCTGTGCCAAGCTTGAAGCTGAAGTCTTGGGAGTAGGAGCTGGAAGACAAGAGTGCATCCTTTTAGGGTAAGGAGGAGAGTGGTTGGGTGGGAAGTCCTGGGTGGGAAGATCGAGGGAGGCAGGAGAAGAAGGGGCCCATTAAGCTCCTGGGTCGCCTGAACAAGGGTGAGTTTTCCAGCTGTTAGATTTACTGTTTACGTGTGTGAAGGTGTCAGCCTAGGGTAGCAGCCTAGGGGGTTAGTGGCCTCTGGGACAATGTTCCTTGGATGGGTGGGGAGGGCCCCTGGCTGTATGGTTTTTGAACCCCAGAGAAGCCTCTAGGGCAATATTCACTTGAGTACTGTAATTCAAAAATAAAATGTTAAGCCCCCAGCCAATGGACCCCTGCTGTGCCAAGGGAAACCTGAATAACTAAATCTCAGGAAATACGACTTGTTAAACCCTCTTCCTTGTGGAATTTTAGGGACAACTGACCAGTATTAACATTAAAAAAGAGATTATTAGACTGGCAAAACACATTCTATGGCAATGAGATACAAAGTACCAACCTGACACTCTGGTATGGTATCACATGACTGATAACAGGCCCTAAAAAGAAGTAAAAATATTTTACTCCAAAATATATTTAGTTAACATATTTTGAAATAGCTCTGCAAACAGGTCTTTTGTGGGGAAATATTTACATCTATAGCATCTACATTAACATAGCCAGATCCTTCCCCTTCTAGACCTTCCCAGAAGGATTTGCTGTGATACCTTTAAAGTCTGAATAACATAACAAACATTTGCTATCTAGTCTCTCTAAGCGTTGCCTCCTATGAGGCTTCATCTACATATCAAGATCCTGGGTTTCCTCAACCACCCTCTTTTTTTTTTTTTTTGAGTTGGCGTCTCACTCTGTCGCCCAGACTGGAGTACAGTGGACCTCAACCTTCCAAGTAGCTAGAACTACTGACGCGTGCTACCACACCTGGCTAATTTTTGATTTATTGTAGAGATGAGGTCTCACCAAGTTGCCCAGGCAGGTCTCGAACCCGCAGGCTCAGATAATCCAGTCACCTCAGACTCCCAAAGCGCGGGATTACAGGCTGAGCTACCGAGCCTGGCTACAACCACCCTTTTAACTCAGCATTTCCTTTACAGATTTAAAATTATTTAGACAACTTGACCCTTTCCACCAGTTGCCAGTCAAAACATCTTTGAATCCACCTGTGACGTGCCAGCCCCTGCTTGGAGATATCTGGCCCCGGCCTTCCAGGGACCAACCTCACATGTATTGATTTATGTTTTGCCTATAACTTCTGTTTCCCTAAAAATGTATAAAGCCAAGATGGACTTCTTGGGATTGTGCCAAGGGCCTAGGTCATTCACATTTGGCTCAGAATATACTTTTAAAATATTTTACAGTTTGGCATCTTCTGTCAATAGTACCAAACTGCCAGAAGACTGATTTTTTTCATTGTAAATGTTGAAACTTACACAGATTATTGTATCATTATTAGTTTCACCATGAATATTAGTTTGACCATGAATATGAATATACTGATTAAGTATTTGTAGAACACTTGGCAGTTTTTGTATCAGATGTATTAATGACTGCTTCTGTGGGTTCTAGGTTTTGCGCCATACTTAGAAAGTTCTTTCTAACTCCTTGATTATAAAAATAATTTTCTTATATTGCTGTATGCCTACCATTGATTGGGACACACCAATGGGTTAAAGTAAAAACAAAAACTCCAAAACACTCCAAATCCTACCACTTAGAAATAGCCATCATTAATATTATTTTTATTTTTATTTTTTTGAGTTGGAGTCTCACTCTGTCGCCCAGACTGGAGTGCAGTGGCATACTCCCAGCCACCGCAGCCTTGACCTGCTAGGCTCCAGCGATCCTTCTGCCTCAGCCTTCTAAGGAGCCAGAACTACAGGTGCACGCTATCACGTCTGGCTAATTTTTTGATTTATTGTGGAGATGAGGTCTCGCCAAGTTGCCCAGGTGGGTCTTGAACCCGCGGACTCAGGCAATTCACTCACCTTGGCCTCCCAAAACATGGGATTACAGGTTGAGCCACCGAGCCTGGCCTATTAAGCTTTAAAGAAATGTTTTTTTTTTCCTTACAACAGAACATTTACTAAAAGGTCCCGGTAAAGTAAATAGTTTGTGAGTCATATCTATAATTACTTGTTTCCATTTGAGTGGTTTTTGTTTGTTTTTGAGCTGGAGTCCCTGTGTCACCCAAGTGGGACTGCAATGGCATGCTCACAACCTATCGCAGCCTTGACTTGCTAGGCTCAGGTGGTCCTTTCATCTCCGCCTTCCAAATAACTGGAACTACAGGCATGTGCCACCACACTGGCTAATTTTTTAATTTATTGTAGAAATGAGGGCCGGTCTCAAATCCTTGGGTTCAGGCAATCTTTTTACCTGTGCTCCCAAAGTGTTGAGATTATAAGTGTGAGCCACCACACCCAGGCTTGTTTCCATTTAAGACGGTATCTATTGATTCTTTGCTATGAAACATGAGGACATTCGATTTCTCATGTTTTTCCTCATCTGCCTCCCCTGTCCTATATCCTGATTGTGTTAATTATGTAATTAAATTACCCATTTTATAGCATTTAGATTGTACCCTGTGACCGTAATCCCCATAATGATTTTGTTGTTTCTTATTTGAAATGATTTTTAATGCTTAGTTATCAGTTCTCCTACCATGGTTTCTGCATTCCTGAGCTCTTGATTTGCATTTCTGTATTAATTAACTGCATTTTATTGTTAAGTCATTTTTCCCCTAGGAAGGGGGCTGTATCCCCTGACTTGTTTCATGCCTGAGAATTTCTGCCTGTTGTCTTTACCAAATTTATATGATATCTTGGCTGGGGGTAATTTTTTTTTTTTTTTCTTTTTTTTTTTGAGTTGGAGTCTCACTCTGTCACCCAGACTGGAGTGCAGTGGCCACTCCTGGCCACTGCAGCCTCGACCTGCTGGGCTCCAGCAATCCTCCCGCCTCAGCCTTCCAAGTAGCTGGAACTACAGGTGCACGCTACCACGCCCAGCTAATTTTTGATTTTATTGTAGAGATGAGGTCTCACCAAGTTGCCCAGGCGGGTCCCAAACCCTCGGGCTCAGGCAATCCACTCACCTCAGCCTCCCAAAGTGCTGGGATTACAGGCTGAGCCACCGAGCCCGGCTTTTTTTTTTGGTTCGTATTTTTTCTATATCTCAGAATTGCATAGAAATTCTCACATTCTCTTCTGATATTGGATGTAGATATGGGAAAATTGGGGGCTGTCTGAATTTTCTCCCACTTAAAAGAAGTTTTAGTGTGTTTTGCAATTTTTATAATAAACTCTTGGGGTAAAAGCTTCTTCTAGGTGTCTGCAAAAGTCTTTTAAGTTCAATAGCTAAACTAGACAGTGTCTCAAAATTGAACATGTGTGGAATATAGTGCGTTATTTTAATATTGATTCTGCTTTTCCTTTCACTTCAGGGAAATCTTGGGTTATTTATCTTTGTTCAAAGATATCTTCCATTCCATTCTTGGTATACTTCTTCAGCCACACCATTTATCCATATGTTGGTCTCTTTGTCTTCTCACTGCTTTAATCTGTCTATTCCATCTGCATTCACTGTGGTTATCTCAGACTTTCCCGTGTCAGTATTTCTGTTTTAAATTACTGGCAGAATTTTGTTCTCTAGCCATTGCAATTTATTTATTAGTTCTTTAATGATGTTTTGTTCCTCTTTTTAAATAAGCCTTCATTTCCTCTTACCTCATTTTGTTTTATAATCTCATCGTCAAGCTTCTATTTTGTCAAATCAGTGTTCTAATCAAGTTGTTCCTCAGTGCAAAGCAATTGTGAGGAATTGCTTTCTCTGGAGTTGTATGTATTTTACTTAAGGTTGACATCTTTGCCTTTTGCTTGGTTTGCCTGCTGTTTCTTTTTATTTTATTTTATTTTATTTTTTGAGTCAATGTCTTACTCTGTCGCCCAGGCTAGAGAGCAGTGGCTCTGGGTACCGCAGGCTCGACCTGCTGGGCTCAGGCGATCTTTCCACCTCAGCCTTCCAAGTAGCTGGAACTACAGGCACATGCTACCACGCTCAGCTAATTTTTTGTTTTATCGTAGAGACAAGGTCTCACCAAGTTGCCCAGTCTGCTCTTGAACCCCTGTACTCAGACAATCCTATCGCCTTGCCCTCCCCAAGAGCTGGGATTACAGGCTTGAGCCACCACGCCTGTCCTTGTTTCTTTTCATCTTATTCTTGCTAGTGCTATTCTGCTCAGATGTTCTGATTGATTTCAAAGAGGAAAGTAACTTTTCCTCCTCCAAGACGAAACTGATTTGTACCCTTTACCCTCCAACTCCTGACCTGTTTTCTATAGCCTAGAGGAGTGGATGTAGCAGTGGGGCAGGGGAGATGGATCTCTGTCTGTTGGGGATTTAGTCTATGGTTCCTGTGTGAGGTTCAGCCCACTTATTTGGGAGGTATAAAGGAATGGAAGGAATACTCACTGGAATTAGGTACTGGGTAATTTCCCCAATTCAGAATACAGCCCTAGAGCCATTATTTCCTTCAAAGGGAGTCAGCCCATTGTTCTTGTTTCAGTTTCCTTTTTTTTTTACCTCAGTAGCCTTCCAACTACTCTTCAGTTGAAGAGGAAAATAATTGGTGGCAGTTTGCCTCTCACCAGATTTTGGGGTGTTAGTGAAAATTCTCCTGGTTCTGCCCTTATCGTTTGGTCAGGGCTGGGCCAGGCATGGGAAATGAACCACGTGTGATACTCCCTTCATATCTTTCTTTGTCTGTTTTTGAAGTTAATATACCTGATCGTGCCCATTTCCCTGTTTGGTTGCTGTTGGTGATTTTTTTTTTTTTTTAACTATTTTCTTACTCATTTTGGTAATTATCAGGGGAAGGAAAATTGTGTTCCCGTTTTAATTCTCCATCTTAACTCAGAAATCTTTATTTCTGTGAAGTGCCTCAGGATACTTTCTCTTTAATAATACTCATAAAACTCTGGGTTTATGTTCCTCTTTTTTTTTTTTTTGAGCTGAAGTCTCAC